AAATATATAGGGAGTATGAAGAAGGCACCGGGAAATGTGGGGGGAGAGAGAGATTATGGAAAGCATCTTGTGAATTAAGAAGAGAACACAGAATTCTGTTGGATAAATTAGATAAATTATTTAAATCATTAATTTAGATTTAATTCAAGATACTATACATAACAACTTGATATCGATACCTAAAATGTAAGCATGCTAGTTAGAAAGTTGTAATGTGGAGAAGGATCCACGCGTGGGAGATAAATTTACAGTGACCTTAACATCTTTGCAGTGGATACAATTTAAAAAAATAAAAATATTCTACTGGGATATATTGAAGCTGAAGATCCTAAGAAGAGAGAAGTACTTACACTTTTCCACATGTCTTTGGTAATGAGAAATTTCAGTATAGTGTGTATTTCTCATAATAGAGTAAATAATTGGTTATAAGTATAAAAAGTATAACGATATTAAACATATAATCTAGAAAGATTAAAGGGATTTAATGTGTACAACTGAAAATAAGGAAAGTAGAATAAAGAGGAAACTGTGACTATCTGAAAGACAGAGGTGGTTGTTGGTGTAACTAGGGAGTATAAACTAAAAACCTTAAACTAAAACAAAGAGGAAATGGTTTATAGTTTATTATGGTGTTTTTGTTATACTGATGTATGGAACATCTCTCACGTCTGCAGTACCATACGTCCATAGAACAAAATTACCAAATACACAGAATTGAATTGGGAATAACAAGAGAACAAGAACAGCAGTCATTAGAAAGGCATTTTCTCATACTAAGATTTTATTATGTGATGGAACAATTTGTCAAGTGAAGTTGCAGAAGCATCAACAGTAGATAAGACTGGAAGCAGGGGTTTAGTAGAACCAATCATTTTACACTACATTAGGGATATGGCATTTCAAAACCTAATTCCATAAATACAGAAATGAAGATGATCATGTCCATATAGATGGGAAACCAACTCCGTTGCTTACATAAAAAATGAAAATAGAGCACAAGTGCCATCACAGATTTTATTCAGACTTTTTCACCTCTCTTGCCCAGTTCAGTTCACATGCAGGAGAAAATGGACATTTCTAAGGTTTACAGAACATTATATTATGATCAGGATGTCCAACAGTTTTGAGTAATGTTTTCAAATGCTTCATAATACATGTACAGTGAAGCATCTGTCATGTACTAGGGACGTTCCTCTGGATTTCTCATAAACACAAGTAAACAACCAAAGAATTTGCATCCTCGAAAGACTCTATCCCAAGTGTTGCACGGATCTCAGTACATGCTGGGGCAGAACATAGGAATTTAATGGGTGCTTTTGAATAAATTTGAATTAGCTTAAATCCAAATACTAAAATACAGTTCTGTGCCTCCAATATGTCCCTCACTGCCTTGAATTAAAATGTTCCCAATGAGGAACAATATAAAAAGCAGATAAGCCTGAGCTTTGAATTTCAAAAAAGGCACTTCCACTGAGATGTAGAATTTCTAAATACTAATCAGTTCTCACTAGACTGTGACTGGTGAAAATGAGGGACTTGTTACTTTTTCTTTTATGAGCAAAATGTTTTCACCCAGCTGCACAGTAGTTATAATCTGCTTTTTTTCTTAGATTTGGGCTAACAATTTAAGCTTTAAATTTAACTCATCTTACTGCAAAATTAATAATGTATTATTTCTGTCTTCTCCTCCTACAGTATGCTGTCTGGCTAGTCCTCTGGGTTACATGGAATGTGTTTGTTATCTGCTTCTACTTGGAGGCTGGGGATCTTTCAAAGGTAATTTACCATCTGATATGTCTAAGCCATCAGCACCGTGTTAACATGCCCCGATTTAGAGGCGAAGACTCTGCAACCTACTTATCCTCTCGGTATCATTTAAATTAGGATAGCTTGATGGAAATTTTGAATGTGTTACTAGTCTACATCCTAAACAATTACAGGTATCTCTATTTCAGTGGAAACAACAATAACAGTTACACTTTTTTAAAGGAATAATCACTGTTTTGCCCCTTATAGCTCTGCCCTGCACATTTCATATTTATAAGAAAGCTTAATTAGAGACTATAAATACAAATGGAGACTTTCATAATTGCTGTTTCAAGAGTAAAGACACCTCTTTGGTACCATTTAGCTTGCTTAATACTTAGCTGGATTCTTTCCAGAGATCTATACTTCACTGTAATAATTGTAAAACAAGGTGTCTTCGATTAATTTAAAGTGGAAACTGAGGTGCCAAGATATATGGCTTTCTGGAATTAACAGTGTTTTCATTCCCACATTTGTGCTGGGAATGTTATGGCGTGAGGCTTGCGTGTGCCAATCTATGATAAATGTTGGTTTCTTTATGCATGTCATGATTATACATGGAATTTCTGACACCCCAACTGATAGCACATGTGATTGGTGTTTTTCATTGGCTCATATAATTCCAAACAAATGGATCTAATGAAGCCCCTTTATCCCAGACTAATAACCATACTTTATACTGTGTGTTCCCATAGCAGTAAAATAGCAGAACAAAAAATAAACAGGTAACATACTGTTTCACAGAAATAATAAGCTCCATCTGCATTTAGGGCTTGAATTTTGCAGGCCATGCTGAGTTATGTTTGTTGTGACTTTATTTCCTAAACAACATATAAATGATGAGAATCCTGCCTTTGTATACATTCTTGAAGTAGCCCAAAAAACACTGTGTTCTGTACTTGGTCCAAGCTGTTTAATTCTCCCTAGTGGTTAAGCAGGGTTTAACCCAACTGAAAACTGCATGTGTAAAGCTTCACTTCTTGGAAGTGGAGGGAAAGGGCGGCTTCTGTCATTAGCACTTCAGGGTACTGATTACTAGATACATTTATACAATGATTAGCTGGGGCCAGGGTGCCTCTAACAGCTATGCTGAATGGGTGGTCCTCCAACACTGAATTTTTGGGTATGTTTGCAGGGAAGCTAATAGTGATGGAGTCAGCTATGGTCCTGGCTGTACTAAATGAGAGAGGCATTCTGAAAGGCAAAGCTGAATGGATATCACTGAGCATGGGAGCCAGGTGGAGTATTTGAGATGAAAGCTTTTGGCTTGGCTCAGGGTAAGAGATGTGTGGGTTTGACCAACCTGTTTTAGTGATATCTTCCAAACGTTTGCTGGCTACTGCTGCTAAGCCTTCAGTACATTCAACGCCACCTGCTGCCCTTACTCAGAATCCAGTGCAACAAGTGAAATCAAACTGAACCCACAAAAGTCACACACATCTCACTGTGGAAGTGCCAGCTCTCAATTTCCCCTCAAAATGTAAGAAAGACTGAACAAATGTCTTTTGGATCTTCTTGTGTACTGCTCTTTGAAATGTCACTTTGAAATCAAAGGGACCATGACGTCTTTTTCTAAGGGGGAGGAGGGTAACTGATTTTTAAGTGGAGTAGTTTGTTTTCTGATTTAGACAGGCCCAGTCTATTAAGAGCTTGGCAATGATGTAGTATATATAGAATAACAAAACCTGCCGGATACTATTTTTCAGTTCATTACAACTGCCTTGCTTATTGATAAGACCCCTTGCATACATTAAAATTATGCACAATTCAGGTTTTAACCATGCCATAAATTATAGCAAGCTACACCTGCATCCCTGCATAGCACAGCAGACAAGGCACAAAAATATTTCATGTATATTGTAGAATATCTTTGTAACTGGTTGATATGGGACTTTAAATTGAACTTGCAGCATGCGTTTCAGACCTGGGGCTACCCCATGCTAATCCAACTCTCAGCTGAGTGTCTGGATCATTATAAAGCAGATACAGGGTTTAAAAACTGCACATACAGGTTGACTGAACATGAGTGTTAAAAAGCTGGAGGTGCAAGGAAATAGGGCCAGGGATAGCCACTGTGATCCTGGTTCCCAGTCTACCAGGCTTTTAAGTTGTAATATGTGCAGCCCAACTGGCCTGCACACATGGTGATTTAAAAGCTGGGGTAGGGTTAGCTGGGCAGGAACCAGGGTTGGGAAGTCTCTCCCTGGACCTGCTTCCTTGTGCATCTAGCTATAAATCATCATGTGTGCAGCCCAGCTGGGTTGCTTCATGGTATTCACACCTATGGTTACCTTTTGCCAATCTGGGAGCTCAGCTGAGCATTGGGATTGGGCTGTCCTGGAGTCTGGGACAAAGCCACCCCGTGGGAAAGCGACAGCCCTGACCTCAGCAGTCATGCAGTTCGGGTCTGAAGAATTGTATGCCCAATCCTAAGCATCACATGTTTTGCTATGCATGTGTAGTATGGCAGGAGGTACAAGATTTGGGATGACACACAAATCCCTCAGATCCCAGTCACACTATTACTTTAATATCTGCCAGGGGCATAAATGAACTGTAATGAACTCTGTAACAAGCCAGGCATATTTGCAGCATCATACACAAATTAGTATTTTATTTGACTCTGTCCCATTTCCACCTGTTCACTGTCGCATATTGCAGGCATGGGCTAGTTTCTGTGTAAATGAAAATGACTGGGTTGCTTAGTGTATATTGTATTGAGGACAAATATGTCTATTTCTTTCCCTGCATTTTGATAGATATGATGTTGGTTAAGAACAACAGGAAAGTCCTGTCCTAAGTAGGGATGGGCCTGAGTCTTCAGGTGTGAAGGTGTTTAGATCCAGAATTTTTTAGAACCAGGTTTTTGCAAGTAGTGCATAAACCTAAATGAATCAAATTTATTTGGGGGCTTATGTTTTTTAAAGGATTCAGTGATTATATTCTGTACTTAAAATAGGAAATATTTAGTGTATCCCCCTCATTTAAATTAAACATCAATCTAATTGTCTCAGCCTAGCAATGGGATTATTCCAAATGTACGTATTCAGGCTACAAAAGAGATGTTGCATTCATTCCAGGATAAATCTATGGAGTGGCTGATTCACTTTAATCCTAAAAGAATTTGGTGCTGAAAGCAACCTCTCTTTCAACAAAAAAAATGTGAACATTGCTTCACACTGTGGGAGAACAGCTCCTGGCGTTCCAAGAAACGTCGGACACAGAGACCTCGGGGACCCATCCCGGAGCACTAGGGAAGAACCAGTGGGCCCAGTAAGGGTCAGTCGTGCCTCTTGCCTCCCAGCAGGAGCTTTAGAAGTAATGGAAGAGCAGCAAAAGCGGTAGGTGCTGGAAGTTCAGCACCAGCTGGACAGGAAGGCTGATGCAGAAGGGAGACAGCCAAAAGAAGGAGCAGGGCTACAGAGAGTCTGAAGGTCCAGCACGCTGCAGGCAATCTCTGCACTGGAGTGAGAGCACATGTGAAGCCCTGGCACTTGGAAGAGTGCCTGGCAAAAGGTACCCGGAGCTTGGAACTGCTGGCGGGGACTTGCTGTGGCTGGGAGTGGCCAAGAGACAGACAGATCTGAAGGTAGAGAGGGTCCAGTGTGGCAGGATCGGAGTCCAAACATGAGTTAGAGGACCAGAGGGTCCATGTGTTTTATGTTTTGTGTTGTTTTTTCTTTATCACTCCAGTTGGACCATTTGATGATGGGGAAGGACCTGTCTGGAGTGGACTTGCTCTCTGCCTAAATATGAGTTGACTATATAAGAACTGGTAGAAGGGCCAAAGTAGAGAGTCAAGCCCTGAGACTTTAAAAGAACACCGAGACTTTGTGATGACCCTGACTGGGTGTCAGCTGTATGAAATTTATTTCTTTTCCTTGATTTACAATCAATCTTTCACTTCAGGACCATATGGTTGATATGTGAAGGGGAGGTAGGAGCCCTGGGGAAAGATCCATGGCCCCACAAGTATAGTCCCAGTGACATTTTTTAGTTACTTACATTTCGTCTGAGAATAAATATGACATCAAGCCTGTAATGATACTTTGGGATATATCTGCTGTTAAGAAAGGTGTGTGGAATTTTAAAAAGATGAAGCCCTGATTCAGCCCTAACTAGAGAATAAAAAATAACCTTTAGGGAAGTACCAGAGGGAAGCCTCCAAGGTTGTAAACCATGAGAGAGAATCTTGCACAGCATGGTTTTAAGAATTGGAAGGTTAAAATTACAGCCTCATAATAGTCCACCTGGGCATAGTTTATTTTTATGCGTTTAATATATAGCTTTTTACAGAGTAGAATAAAACAGACATTTTTTTGAAAGTTTGGAAACTGGCTTCTGTTTACTATCTTACGTTATCTATTTTGCTATCATCATCTAGTAATCTAAAGGAGAAAAACATATTTCAAGGTTTAATCTATCACATTAGAGGAACTTCATTGGCTTCATCCTTTTTTAAATTGGTTTGGAGGCCAGAGGTCATGACATTTTTACAAGTGCTCCTTATTACAGTGAAAGAGCCTGTAAAGACACTAACATTTCTAGAAGTATGAGATTATCTCCTGTTTAAAAGAGTGAAAGAGCTGAATAACTATTAGTGAAGAGCTGTGCACAGCTGTTCACATGATATGACAAAATGGGAATTGTACCCAGAATGAGGAATAGTGTCACAGTGAATATTGTGCCCTTGTATCGTTGTTGAAGTATTTACTGGTCATCATCTAGCACTAACCACAATGCGTACGACTTATTTGTTTAATGCAAAAATGAAGTATACAGAGTTGTTTTTAAGTTGCTGGGTTGCTGTGTGTGTCTGTGGACTATTGTGTCAACTCTAGTGGGTGTGGTGAGAACCGTACCATCCCCCTTTACTAGAGTGCCCCCTCAACTCCCCTCCCATGACTTGTTGTTACTGGGTGAAAGGACAGTTTCAGTGGTGTTTCTCTTCTCAGGTGACCTGGTGATGA